GTTATATTATAGATTCTAAGCTGTTATATCTAGAGCTATTTTATCATACACATCTATTGTTCAAATACAACTGCAAATATCTTTCAGTTCTCCTTCTATCATAGTTTTTATGGTTATATCAATCGTCTAATTGATTCTCTCTCTTACTAGAGTTTCATGAGTTATATCTGACTCCTAACTCACAACTGCTAATTTCTTCTTATTCTTATTTCCTTAAAGATTTTTTTCTTTTCGTCTGCCTCTGTTCTGGTCTAGCTATCGGCTGTCTCACTCCTCCTGTCTTTCCTCATCTTCTCCATTCTTCCTTCCTTCCTTACTGACTTCCTTCCCTTCCTTCCAATTATCTTTCTACTCAATCCCTCCCTTCTCTCCTTCCTTTTTCCCTACATCCCTATCTTCCTGCCTTCCCTCCATCTCTCCTCTTCCTTCCTTCCCTCCCTCTCTCCCTCCCTCCCTCCCTCCCTCCCTTTCCTCTCCTCACCTCTCCTCTTCCTATTCCTCCTCTCCTCTCCTCTCCTCCCCCTCTCTCCTCTCCCTCTTTCCCCTCTCCCTTCCTCACTCCCTCCCTCCCTCCCTCCCCCTCCCTCTCTCTCTCCCTCCCCCTCCCTCCTCTCCTTCCTCTCCTCTCCCTCTCTCTCCCTCCCTCCCTCCCTCCCTCCCCTCTCCCTCCCTCCCTCTCTCCCTCCCTCCCTCCCCCTACCCTTTTTTCTCGAGATCAAAGGCCCTCCCTCCCCCCCCCTCCCGCCCTTCAGCGCCAGGACCTGCATGGGCTTCCCCCCGAGGACTCCCCCGCGCGGCCCTTTCACGTCCGAGGAGGTCGCGCCGCCGGGGATGAGCGGGGGAGATGAGAAAGGGGCGGGGCCTTTGTGCTTGCTTGTCTTCGGCGCTCTCTCTCTCTCTCTCTCTCTCTCTTTCTCTCTCTCTCTCTCTCTCCCTCTCTCTCTCTCTCTCTCTCTCTCTCCCTCTCTCTCTCTCTCCCTCTCTCTCTCTCTCTCTCTCTCTCCCTCTCTCTCTCTCTCTCTCTCTCTCTCCCTCTCTCTCTCTCCCTCTCTCTCTCTCTCTCTCTCTCTCTCTCTCCCTCTCTCTCTCTCTCTCTCTCTCTCTCTCTCTCTCTCTCTCTCTCTCTCTCCCTCTCTCTCTCTCTCTCTCTCTCTCTCTCCCTCTCTCTCTCTCTCCCTCTCTCTCTCTCTCTCTCTCTCTCTCTCTCTCTCTCCCTCTCTCTCTCTCTCTCTCTCTCTCTCTCTCCCTCTCTCTCTCTCTCTCTCTCTCTCTCTCTCTCTCTCTCTCTCTCTCTCTCTCTCTCTTCTCTCTCTCTCTCCTCCTCTAATCTCACACTCACGTGTGTGTGTGTGTGTGTGTGTATGTGTGTGCGTGTGTGCGTGTGTGTGTGTGTGTGGTGTGTGTGTGTGTGTGTGTGTGTGTGTGTGTGTGTGTGTGTGTGTGTGTGTGTGTGTGTGTGTGTGGTGTGTGTGCGTGCGTGCGTGTGTCTGCTTTCCTGTTAAAAGGCACACACAGCATGGCCGAAAGTGATCCGCCGTCCACATGCCAAGCAGAGGGCGACCACCAGAACGCGCACAGAACCACGGACAAGGACCAGCCACCCCCACCCCTCCCACCCCACCCCCCACCCCAACCCTCCCTCCACCTATTCCCACGGACACGAACACCCCCCACCCCCCGGTCCCCCCTCGAGTGTCTTCGCGAGGTGGAAATTCGCGGAAAAGGGCGGCTCGGGGCGAAGACGAAGCTGCGGCCGAGGTGACGCGCGGGCGGTTTCCGAGCGACGCGACGGCGGGTGAGGGGAAAGGCGCGAAGGGAAGGGAGGGATGATATAAACAAATGAATAACTTAATGAATATCAGAAAGTAGATGATAATAAATGAATAAATGATTAAATAAATAACTTATTTTCAAAAACTATATATCAGAAAGTAGAGAATGCACAAATAAACAAATAAATAAATAAATAACTTATATTCAAACAATAAACATCAGAAAGTAAATATTTAAATACCAAATATCAGAAAGGAAAGAGAAAAAATATACGAATAAATAGATATTTATTGTTTGTCTTTTAAACAAAAAATATGAAAAATGAGATAGAAAAAAAAATTTTGTCTTTAAATAATAAATTTCAAATAGGGGATAATATAAAAATAAATCAGTTATCTTCAGAAAGGAGATAAAAAAAACATAAATAAATAACGGTTTTCTTCAAATAATAGATATCGGAAAGGAGACAAAAGAAAAGAAGAAAATTATAAAACAAGGAAAGGGAGAATACGAGAGAAAGAAAAAAATAAAAGAATTAAGAAAGGGAAAATAATAAAAATATAAGGGAGAATACGAAGATAAAAATAAAGGAAATAGGAAAAAGGAAAATAAGAATACGAAGATAAACAAAATAAAAGAAATGTGAAAAAATATAAAAGAGGGAAAAGAGAGAACGAGAGAACAAACAAAAGAGAAAGAGAGATGCTGGGAAAAAGTCAATGAGAAAAATTCTTAAAAATCTCATTCCTAACTCAAAACCGCTAATAATATTCTCTTTTTCTCACAGAGCTTCCAATTGCATCTATCTCTTGTCTTCTCTTCCTTTCCCTCCCCTCCCCTCCCCTCCCCTCCCCCCTCCCTTCCCCTCCCCTTCCCTCCCCTCCTGAGAGCTTCACTGGCCGGTGTCCAATGGCGGGAAAGACGTATATACATCTTCCGATAACTCCTGGGCGTGGGTGGGAATATCCGTGATACGGCTGACTAAAATGTTAAAAAAGAGAAGAAGGAAAAAAAATACAAAGACAGACATGAAAGTGCGTAAAATGACATACTAAAATAACGGCCTTCGTCGCCATCTTTTTTTGAGTCCGTAGTCCCCCATCATCTTGTTTGAGTCCGTAGTCCCTCATCATCTTGTCAT